TTTCTTTCTTTCTTTCTTTCTTTCTTTCTTTCTTTCTTTCTTTCTTTCTTTCTTTCTTTCTTTCTTTCTTTCTTTCTTCCTGTCTGTCTGTCTGTCTGTCTGTCTGTCATGTCTGTCATGGGGCTTGAACTCTGACCTGGGCGCTGTTCCTGAGCTCTTCAGCTCAAGACCCACGCTCTATCACTTGAGCCACAGCGCCACTTCCTTAAAATTTTATTATTTTTGTTAGTACTGGAGTTTGAGCTCAGGGCCTTGTATTTGCTATGCAGACACCCTACCATTTTAACTATGCTCACTCTGCTTTCACAGGCTTCCCCCCCCCTTCTTTTTTTTCCCCCTTTTCCTTCAAAAAGTCTCTGGCTAGGATAAAGCCTCCAAATCTCATCTACAAAACATAGAACGCTCTCTCTGCTTTCACATGCTTTTTTCTTTCTTATTCTCTTTTCTCTTTCAAAATGTTTCTGGGTTGGGCACTGGTGCCTTACACCTGTAATTCTAGCTACTCAGGAGGCTGAGATCTGAGGATTGCAGTTGAAAGCCAGTCCCAGCAGGAAAGTCCATGAGACTCTCATCTCCAATTAACCATCAGAAAAACTGGAAGTGGCACTATGGCTCAAGTGGTAGAGCGCTTGCCTTGAGCTGAAGAGCTGAGGGACAGTGCCCAGGCCCAGAGTTCAAGCCCCACAACCGACATAAAACAAAACAAAAAAACAAAAACATTTCTGGCTAGGATAAAGCCCTCATTAGCCATGCCCTCATGGTTCACACCTATAATTCTAGCTACTTAGGAGACAGACCTAGAGGATCAAAGTTTGAAGCCAGCCCACACAGACAAGTATACTAGGTGACATCTTTGATTAACTAGCAAATGTCATACTGGAGCCATGGTTTGAGTGGGTGAGCACTATGAGCAAGAAAATGGAGCAGGAAGACAAGGCCTGTGTTCAAGCCTCAGTACTGGCACAACAAGAAAAGAAAGTGTGAGCATGTACAAATTATAGTAATAAAAAGAAACCACTTTGCCAGGGGCTGGTGGTTCATGACTGTAAGCTACTCAGGAGGCTGAGATCTGAGGATTATGTTTCAAAGCCAGTTTGTGCTCTAGGCTAGTGCTCTGCCACTTGAGCCCAGCTCTACCTTTCAATCTGTAGGTGGTTAACTGGAAATAAGAGTCTCACCAAACTTTCCTGCCCAGGCAGGCTTTAAACCATGAGCCTCTGATCTCCACTTCCTGAGTAGCTAGGATTATAGGCATAAGCAACTGATCTCAGATAGTGAGTGTGTGTGTGTGGGGGGGGGGGCAGGGAGGCGGAAGATGAGTATGTGTGATTTATACATTTTTACAAAAGTTTCAGGTTAATTCAGAAAGTATTATTTGTTCAGTCATTCGTTTAAAAATATTTGAGAACCTGCAATATACTGTCATCATTCTTCAGGAGATATAATAGTAAATTAAACAACTGTCCTTGAATTAATCATGGAGCCTATACTTTTAATGTTGAAAGGTATATAATAACTAAGCTAGATGACTGAAATGTGTAGCATGCTGGATGGCATGAAGTGTTCTGGTGAAAATAAACAGGACAGGGGGATAGAAAAATGGGGGTAAGGAACAAAGACAAAGGAGACGAGGAAGGGAGCAACCCATTCCAATATGTGGAGGAAAAGAATTCTGAGCAGTGGGAAGCCAAGTGCTAAGGCTTGGTGTTGGGGGAATCCAGCGGGAGCTCAAGTCAGAGTATAGGAAGTAGTGGATGGGATTTAAATAGGGGTGACATCAGAGGTCTAAGAGGGTGGTAGTGATAGATTGTAGGACCAGGTTGGCTATGGTATAAGAGTTGACAGTAAAGAGTGCAAACTTTCAGAGGGTCTTGAGCAGAGAAAAAAATACAACTCCTCTTCCTCTTCTTCTTCCTCCTTCTTCCTCTTCTTTCTTCACTCCCCCCGCCCCTCCCCTCCGCCTCCCTATAGCAGGGTTTGAAATCAGGGCCTGGTCTTTCTCAGCTTGCTTGCTGTACTGGAACTCTACTACTTGAGCCACGCCCGTCTCCAGCCCTATTCCTTTTTTTCCCCCTCCCTGTTTATTTTGAAGATAGAAGTGTCATACTTTCCTGTCCAGGCTGGCTTCCAACTGTGATTCTTCAGATCTTTGCTTCCTAACTAGGATTACACAGGTGTGAACCACTTGCATCTACTGTGACTTCATTTTTAAAGAATTCTCCTAACCACTGACTTGAAAATGCATGATAGAATGGCAGGAGTGCAAGTAAGGAGGTAATTAGGAGGCTATTGCTGTAGCAATAATTCGGGCAATAGATAATACTGACACAGATTAGAGTTGTGTTGGAGATGAGAAAAAGTGGTTGACCCTGAGTAGCTTTGATGATGGATTGGAAATGAGATATTAGGGAAAGAAAATAGCCAAAGTGACTCCAAAGTATTTGGCCTGAACAGTTGGCCACAATGATTTAAGAGGTGAGAGAAGTCAGGAGAAAGAGCAGGTTTTGACATGTCAAGTTTAAGATGCTTATTAGAGTCCAAATGAAGTTGTGCAGTAGACTGTTGGACACACAAATCTGAAAATTAGGTCTGGGCTGGAGGTAGAAACTTGGAAGCTGTCAACATAAAGTTAGTATTTAGAGCTATGAAATGGATGAGGTCATCAAGGAATTAAAAGTAAGCAAGAAGCTGAATATAGTGGTATATACCTATAATCTCATCTACTCTAGCTACAGAAGCAGTAGGATCCAGATTTCCAGGTCAGCCTGGGTAATATAATGAGGCTTTGTCTCAAAATAAGTAAATAAGAAAAACAAAATTTGTCCAGGGACAAATATACAAAGGTGATTAAGTTTGGGAGAAGAGGTATCACCAGCAAATATCAAGAAAGGAACAACTAGTAACTAGTAGGGAAACAAGGAAAAGTCCTAGAAGCCACATGAAAAAAGAAGTGTCACCAGAAAAGAGCCACCAGGCACCGGTGGCGCATACCTGTAATCTTAGCTACTCAGGAGGCTGAGATCTGAGGATCAGTGTTCAAAGCCAGGGCAGGAAAGTCCATGAGACCCTTTATCTCCAGTTAACCATCAAAAAACTGAAAGGGAGCTATGGCTCAAAGTAGTGGAGCACTAGTCTTGTCAGGGACAGCATCCAGGCCCTGAGTTCAAGTCCCACAACTGACAAAAAGAAGCGTTTTAAGGAGGAATGATCATCAGTAGTCATATGTTGCTATGTAAGATGAAGACTGAAATTTATTTATTTATTTATTTTAGTCGGTCGGGGGGCTTGAACTCTGGGCCTGGGCGCTGTCCCTCAGCTCTTCAGCTCAAGGCGAGCGCTCTACCACTTGAGCTACAGCGCCACTTCCGGTTTTCTGGTGG